TTGTGGAAGAACTGTTTGCTATAGCTGTGAATAAAGAGACAAAGGTGCCAAGTTTCAGAAGTCAGCACATTAAATAAATAAGGGCACTTACTATTACTTAGTACTAATTAGTACTCAACTTTCTCTTTTCTGGAAAAACTAATAAAGATGAATATATTGAAAATAGAAACACACGGGCTGGGGATGTGGCTCAAGTGGTAGTGTGCTCGCCAGCCATGCRTGAGGCACTGGGGTTTGATCCTCAGCACCACATAAAGATAAATAAGTGAAATAAAGATATTGTATTCAACTACAACTAAAAAAYAAATATTTTTATTAAAAAAAAGAAAATAGAAACACAGGACTAATTCTAAAGAGAAAATAAAGTTAAACAGTCAAAACTGGAAATGTTATTGGAAAATATAACAAAGATTTAATGTTTATTAAAGTGAGAAGTATCCAAGAGGTAATATCTTTTAAGCCTATAACGCAAAGCTATCAACCTGGGTTTAATATTTTTGACAATTCTCAGTGAAGATAATTGAAGGTGTCACAAGGTGGCGCTGTTACAACCCCCTCTGACGGCCCTAGGCTCGCAGGCAGGGCCGCCTCTGCTGGCTCTGTCTGGGCCGCGGAAAGTTAAGTTTGAAGAGAGGGGATGAGGGGAACATGGACTTGAAGAGGAGGATCCACCTGGAGCTGAAGAAACCTATTCGGGAACTTGTCTTGGACAATTGAAAATCAAATGATGGAAAAATTGAGGGCTTGACTGCTGAATTTGTGAACTTGGAGTTCCTCAGTTGAATAAATGTAGGCTTGATTTCAGTTTCAAATCTCCCCAAGCTACCTAAATTGAAAAAGCTTAAGCTCAGTGACAACAGAATCTATGGAGGTCTGGATATGTTAACAGAAAATCTTCCAAATGTCACACATCTAAACTGAAGTGGAAATAAACTGAAAGACATCAGCACCTTGGAACCTTTGAAACAGTTGGATTGTCTGAAGGGCCTGGATCTGTTGAACTGTGAAGCCACTCATCTTCACACAGAGTGTGTTCAGGCTCCTGCCCCAGCTGACCTACCTGGACCGATATGATGGAGAAGACTCCCCCCACTCAGATGCCGAGGTGGATGGTGTGGATGAAGAAGAGGAGGATGAAGAAGGAGAAGATGAGGATGGTGAGGAGGAAGAGTTTGATGAAGAAGATGAAGATGTAGAAGGGGAAGACAATTAAAATGAAGTCAGCAGGGAGGAAAAAGAATTTGGGCTTGATGGAGAAGTAGATGAAGATGAAGAAGAGGAGGAAGAAAGCCGGAAAGGTGAAAAGAGGAAGAGAGAAACAGATGATGAAGGAGAAGATGATTAAGACCTCAGATAAACTGCAAAAACAGAACTGTTCAGTATTGGTTGGACTGCTCATGGATTTGATAGCTGTTTAAAAAAAAAGGTAGCTGTGATACAAACCCYAGGACACCCACCCACCCAAAGAGCCAAAGAATAGTTCCTGAGACATTCCGCCTTCCTCCTTTCAGTCCCTCTTGGTAATCCATCACCAAGCTTGGGGACTTTGCCCCAACAAAATTGTAAGCATTGTTAGGTTTTTTTGTGTAAGACTCTTGCTGTAGCATGGATAGCTGTGATTGGTGAGTCAACCGTCYGTGGCTACCAGTTACACCGAGATTGTAACAGCATTTTTACTTTCTGTACAACAAAAAAGCTTTGTAAATAAAATCTTAACATCTTGGAAAAAAGAAAAGAAAAGAAAAAGTATGCCCTGATCTGGCTCTTCCTAGAGAACATTTCAAAACCACCACCATCCAGGGAACATCCGCTTCTCTATTCTAAGCTCACTGAAGTTCACAATAAAATGCCTTTCTTACAAATCTAAATCCTTTAATATTTTATTTTTATTTTTTAGTTGTCGTTGGACATAATACCTTTATTTTGTTTATGTTTATGTGGCGCTGAGGATCAAACCCTGGGCCTTGCATGTAAGAGGTGAGTACTCTACCACTGAGCTCACAACCCCAGCCCCTAAATCCTTCAATATTAAGAAATGTTGGTTCCCAAAGTTACTAATCAGATGCTGTGAAATAAAGCAGCCCTTATTGCTCGAAGAAAGCAAAAACAATCTGGAAAGTTTTGCCTGTAAAGGGACTTTGAATAGTCTCTGCACATCTCTTCATCTTTACAGAACATTCTTATGAAGGGGTTACTGCGGGAAAAGTCTATGCAAGGAACTGGGGCTGGGGAGAATGGGAAAGTACAAGAGGCACTTCCTGCCCTTGGTTGTTAGGACTCTGAGATGGAACTCATGTTTGAAATAATAATTCCTTCCACATCTGCCAAATCCTTAATATTTCCTAGAAAAAGAAGCTTTTGCCCCTTTTCCTCCCCACAAGAAACAAACCGTCGTAGTCACCAAAACTATCAATAGTAGTCTTCTGGGTTTGAATTGCTAGAATGGGGACAGATAGATAGAAGGGCAGGTCAGATGTTCACTTTTTACTTCATACACATCTGTATTGTCTGAATTTGTTACATGGGTCTGCGTTACTTGCATAACTTAAAAAAAGAAAAGCCAAAACAAAACCAAAGTTTAAAAATTGGATATGAGGGCAGGCATAGCAGAAAGCATCCAGTGAGCTTACTATGTGCCCTACAGGTCACATACTTTTCTCATTTACCTGCCCCAGTCACTCTTCAGGACAGGGAGATCTCCTCTATTACTCCATAGGGAGGATCTGAGGCTCAGGCACCCCAGAGCTCATTAGCAGCTCATGGTGTTTGGATAACTGCCCTCACTCTGGAGCATGCGATCTGCTGAGCTCTGAGCCCTTCCCCAGGGCTCTGTGAGCCAAGAAAAGTCTTCTCCATGTTTCCCCCACCCCACCCTACCCTGCTCCAGAAGGGACCTTGAGAATGAGTAACTCCTGATTCTCTGATCTCTAGCCATTTCTCCAACCCTCTCAGCCAAATTTCCCATCCTATCCACCCATCCTTCTTATATTTTACATAGTATGTCAAGCCTCCTTTAGCAATGGCTCATGAAACTCCTATAGACCTCACCAGTTCTTACTGGACCTGAAGGTTTGGTTATGACAGCTGTCTCCAGGGTTGACAGGAAGATCTGGTGAGGCCTGCCCCTCCTCTGAGAATAGTTTTCCCCACCTTCCTCCTATTAGCAGGGGGAACATCTTAGAAAATCAAATCCTGACATTGCCGCTCCAGTTCTCTAAAGCAGATTCAATTTCTTTTCACCTTTCTGACGTATCAATACGACATCTCTTTCTGCAAGCAAACTCAAGCTGTTAAATCCTCACCTCTCAGACACACAGGTGGCCTTTCCTGCCACTGGCCCCCAGAAGAGAAGCACCTGTCTGCAGTCTAATCAATATTGCAATTGCTCCTTGTGGTTTAGTACACACAAAGACCTTGGTGAAAGGAGGGCTTTATCCTGTGGCTGTCCCTCTTATAGTCAGAGGACAGATCCAGAATGCTACGGCAGACCACTAGGCCCCAAGAAGACGACCGAGTCATTCTTATTTAGTCTCAGACAAATCTCTGATCCTCAAAGTCCTAGTTCATAGACGGTTTGCTGCAGCTCTCTCTGTCTTGCCCCTTGTAGACTAAAATGCCTGCATCTTTGAGCTGAGTCAGACAGGAAAACCTACTGGATTCTAGCCCATGATAACAAACATGTTGGAAGAATTAAAATAAAACAAACAAACAAACAAACAAACATTTCTTACCCAAGCTGATGAAAAGGAGAGTGAGAAGAGCTCTCATTTTAGCTGCTCTTGCCTGGTAATCCAAGGAGGAAATGATTTCTCTCCTGAACTACCTTGGGTTTTAACTCTCTTTCAGGTGCAAAGTCCAGTCATTAACTGACGTCAGAGGCTATTGGCCGTCAGGATTCGGTCATATATCACAGGGCTCTTCCCAGCTTTTGAGATACACTGGGGGAACCTGGCCTCATGGATTACTTTTCTAAGTCAGAGTCCAAAATAAGTCAGGATATTTCAAAATCTATTTCAAAGTTGTTAAAAGGTCCATGGTAAGTGAATTTGCTTAAATTCTTTATATTCCCCGATATCCCTACACTACCACCTTTTTGGATTGAATCCAGGGGCACTCAGCCACATCCTCAGTCCTTTTTATATTTTATTTTGAGATAGGGTCTCGCAAAATTGTTTAGGGACTCACTAAATTGCTGAGGCTATTCTCAAACCTGCCATCCTCCTGCCGCAGCCTCCTGTGTCACTGGGATTACAGGTGTGTGCCATTGCACCGGGCAAGGACACCATTCTTTAAACATTCAATAACGTAGTCACTCCCATTGTGTTCCCAAAAAATCCTCTTTTCTCCAGG